GGAGGAATACTGCGTATAGGAATTTTTTTCCTTTCCTGTAGTTCGGATCATGAAAACTGGTTGTAGGAAATCCAAAGGAAAGTTTCCTTTGATGCTGATTTCACAGGAAAAGTACATGAAAAATCCATCCACCTCGAGCTCTTTTTTTCTTCCCGCATGCAAATCCTAGGCAATCAATTTCCTGTGATCTAAATGCTCTCAACTTTTGTATTCCTTTGTTTTTCATTTATCTGTTTTACACTTAGATTCCTTTTATATTCATATACTTTTCCTATCCTATTTTTTCCTTCCTATAATCCGAACATTCCTATAATCCGAACAAGCCCTCAACGTATTGTGTCACAAACACTACCATCGAGTTGAGTATTGGTTTCATTTTTCTAAATCAACGGTGGGTTGAGACTTCACATGCATCCTACAGTATTGCATCCTAGTATTTTTGTAGACTTAACAAATAAGAATGCATTAAGATGTTCACTGGACATGGCCATAAAAGGTAGCATCTTCACGATTGCCTCTTCCTGTAAATTGCTTGAGAACGCATATTAGCAGCCCATGATCTTATCGGTACTACTATGAAAAGACAATGGTAGTAGTGGTGATCAGTCTGCCATCACCATCATCACTGACATTTAGGCAATAATATCGGTAAAACACATGTAAATACGATGCTTGCTCTTTGTACTGATGTGCTCTATAACAGTTGGGGAGCTTAAAATTCTGAGAAGCAGCTGCTGAGAAGCTAGCTGGTGAGAATCTGGAGAAACTGGAAAACCCAGCTTCTGGCTTCTAGTATATTTTCCAGATTCTCAGAATCTGGGTAAGAAGCTGGACTATTTGGGGGAGCTTCTGGCAACTGGAGATTCTAGGAGAAGCTGCAGCTGCTAGAAACTCCTCCAAACAGGCTCTAATACTGTCTCCTTCAGTGCGGAAAGGAAAAGGCATTTGGATTTGGGTGAGTCTGTAGTTAGGCTGCAGCTTTTTAATTTTCTGAGCATAAACATTTCTTTTTGTTTTTTAAGATGAAAAATCTTGGTTCGAGACCAATTACTTTTGCTATTTTCAGTAGTCCGTTGCAATACATGAGCATTTACTAGTGAAGGGAAAACATAAAGAGTACTTATCTTCACATGGCCCAAATGAATACCTTGCAACACAGAAAAATAGAGAGAGATCCAAAACACATGAGAGGGGAGATGCTAGAACTGGAAATCAAACACACGGTGGTAGATCAAACGATGTGCAAGGGGAAAGAAGACGAAGCAAATCAAGAACAATGGTCTCAAGTGTTGTTTCAATTTCTTCGCTTTTCAGCCATCATTGTGTTTCACCTCTCCCAATTTCACAACATATTGGGTCTAATTCTAGTCCTGGAAGCAGGAAATGATTTGTATTAAAAAAATTGCAGTTAAGTTTTTTAAATACAAGTGTCTCTGAACTTTAATATATAAGTATGTAAGATGCAATTTGAGTAAAAATCATATAAAAGCTAGTGCTTCATATAAAGTTTCCCAGTTTTAAATTTTCTCCATATATTCATTTTCTCGGCTTTATCAAAACATACATGTGAAAACTTCTTGCAAACGAAAAGATATGATACGAGAAAGTCAACAAGAGAGAGTAACGAAAGCAATAAGCAATGGCAGCTTAGCAGTGGAACTGGACTAAATCAAGAGCAGTCTCTTCAAAGAGCCGGGGACACTCGTTGCTGTTCTCACTATAAAACTCTTAAGAGTGTAAATAATCTGTTCCCTGACATTATTGATGTACTTCAGTATATTGAGAAAGATGGTCCAAATGATGGGAAAAAATGTCAAGCACGTGGTCTTTTGGATTATGTCAAGGATTTTGACTTCGTGTTTCATTTGCACTTGATGTTGCTTATCTTGGGACATGCAAATGCTCTGGCACTGTCTTTACAAAGGAAAGACAAGGATATTTTGGAGGCCATGTTAGAGGTGAAATTAACCAAATAAAGATTTCAACAAGTTCGGGATGATGGTTGGGAATCTCTTTTGGAGAGATCATACTCATTTTGTGAAGAGCACGGTCTCCCTAAATTGGACATGGAAGAAGAGTATGTAGATCGGCATAAACCAAGGAGAAAAACTAATCGCACTAATTATCAACATTATAGATATGATTGCTTGAATCCTATTATTGACTTGCAGCTCACAGAGTTCAATGATCGTTTCAATGAGATAAATTCTAGCTTGCTTACTCATATGGCTGCATTCAGTCCAAAGGATTCCTTCGATTCCTTTAAGCATGACCATCTAATAGAGCTAGCAAAGTCCTATCCGGATGATTTTGATGCAAGGCAATTGAAGGATCTTGATCATGAGCTTCAGATTTACATTGACAATGTTCGAGAAGATGAAAGATTTGGGAAATTAGGCACTATTTCACAACTGGCTAAGTTGATGGTCGATACAAAAAAACATCTTGCTTTTCCTTTGGTCTATCGGAGCCTCAAGCTAGTGTTAGTTCTTCCTATTGCTACGGCATCAGTGGAGAGATGTTTTTCAGCAATGAAGATTGTGAAGACAGCACTACGGAATCGTATTAGTGATGAATTTATGAATGATGCTATCTTATGGTTCGTGGAGAAAGCTTTACTAGCTACAATTCCAAATGACGACGTGATAGCTCTCTTTCAAAACATGGGAATTACTCGTAGGGTGGAGGTGGAAGTATAATAGGTAACTATTGTTGACATTTTATATTTCGTTGGCATATATTGTTAATTAACTTGTTTACTGTATTTTTTTTCAATCTATTATTAATCCATTACAATCTACTAGCATATAGCCCTGTACAATCATGAATCGTCAATCAGTTAGTGTTAAATTTTTGAACAACTAGTTAGTGTTAAAAATTGAGAGTGACACTGGTGACTATTTTTCCTGGATCCGCCACTGATGAAAAGGAACCATATAACAAAAATTAAAATCTGAACAATCAGGAAATCAGATTTAACTAATGACAAATTTAGCTGCAAAATTTGTAGAATTTTTGGGGTATATTCATTGTCCTATCAAAATCAAAAGGAAACAAACTGTTAGGCATCTAAAAAAAGTACAGATATTTCATCATACAAAAATGCAATGGTTGGGCTCCCCTAAGTTCTAAAAATGCATTCCAGAAGAAATTGCAATACCCTTCAGTGAAAATTGCACTATAATTTGCACTGCAAATATATCAAATTTAATATGCAATTTTGAATTGATTATTACCTTCCATGAGTCCTGAAATCAAGCACAGTTTTATTATTTCATCAATGACTCTCTTTTTTCTTCTCCATGGTTCTCTTCTTCTTCCCTTCAAACAGCTGTAGGAGCTCCATGGAAATCAATCTACATATATCAAAAATAAAGAAATAACTGAACAATTAGATTTAAAACAAGATAAGTGAGAACTGTTGGTACATTAAAAAAAATAAAAATGTTGCATACTGCCATGTAGTGAAAATTACATTATGAGAGTTGCACTGCCACTATGAGAGATTTGCATGATGGGGGTAATTGGAGGCTGGTGTTTAGAAGAAATCTTTATGAGCGGAGAGAAGAGCTTGCTGAACTAAAGAGTATGATTAACTTGTGTCAGTTTGATGAGGGGAAGGAGAGGGACAAAGTTATATTATTTGGCCTATAATAGGAAGAAAACCTTGTTCACTAAATGCATACAATGTATAGAATATACAGAAATGGTGGAGGTGTGGAAGAGCAAAATCATTTTCTCTTGTGGTGGAGAATATACAAAAACCTTGTTCACAAGCATTTTCTCTTGTGGTGGAGAAGCTGCCATGTGCTTTAGAACAAAGTGATGGGGTGGGGGGGGGGGGTGTACTATCCTTTGACTCTAAGTGGCCGATACTATATAGGAATGTTTCCTCATAGAGGAGGGAAAACTTTTGTAATAAGATTGAAACTACTAATCACATCTTGTTTGAATACCCTTTAGCAATCCCTCCGAAAAAATCTTGTCGATTTCAGGGAGTGTTTAGGGCTGCTGAATGAGAAGAATAAGTCCAGAGTGTGGGTGCGTGGCTAGTGGCTAGTGTCTGCTGGGTTTTGTGGCCTGTTAGAACTTACAAATGATTGGGTTTTTAAAAATGCTCTTATAAATTCTCCTTTGTATGTCATTTATAATTCCATATCCTTCTTATAAAAATATAGCATCTTGCTAAAATAAGAAGATCAAGTTATTCTAGAATGGTGGCACAAAGCGATTTTGGAGCAGCTTTTTTTTAAAAAAATGAAGAACACTAGACATTGGGATGATTCTGGAGCAGCTATAACAAGTGAAGCCGTGGAATCTGTCTGTAGTTTCCTCTACGGTGATACGGAGTATGTTATTGTCTGGTGTTTGTGCTTTTTTGATGATTGTTGCCGCCTGCAGCATGGTGTTACGAGCTGTGCTTGTTGGTGTTGGGTTTTCTCACAAAGTCAGACCAATATAATAATATAATCTATTTCAAGAAGACGAATGAAAAATCTCAATTATTTTTTATCAATTTTATAAAATCCCACCTATTAGGATCAAATTGTATAAAATCACAGTGATTGACATGACATATTAATAAATTATGTTTCTAATGTTTCGTAAAACCACGTTGTTAATAAATCTGATATACTCATATATCAAAGTTTTTAAAAAAAACTTCAGTTACATGGATATATCATTTGTATGATTAATAAAAAACAATAAATTGGAGATATAATTATAGAAAAAAATATGATAGATCATATCAAAATGATCAATAGTGGTTTTGTGAAACTTTATAACTATATAATAATTAGGGTTATTTTTTATATACCAAAATCCCTATAGTTTTGTGCAACTTACACCATATAATACCTAGGGTTAGGTTAAATTTACTCTCTCTTTTTTTGGAAAAAAAAATCAGTTATAGCGCCAGCCGGCAATTCCACTCCTGATCGGAGCAGAGCTAACCGAAAAATCCCAACAAAAAAAAAATCCGCAAAAAACTCCGTTCCGTTCCGTCTAAAATTCACCGCGGATATTACCACCTTCCGTTTGGGCTCGGCCCAATCTGCTATTGGGCTCCCTCGTCCTCGTCTTCCCCTCCATCCGCCACCGCCGCCGCCGCCGCCGCCGGCGATCTTCTCAAGGTTCGATCCCCTCCACCCTCTCCCCTCCCCTCCGCCGCTCCGGCTTGCCGTACTAACCCGCCCTTCCTTCCTTCGCAGTGCCGCCGCCGGTGGTTCGATTCTTTCTTTCTTTCTTTCTTTCTTTTTTCCCCAATCCGTTCGTCCGCCCTCCACCTCCGACGCGGCGGCGGCGGCATGAAGCGGCACCAGATGGAGTCGGTGCCGAGGACGGTCTCGACGGTGGTGCCCAACACGGCGGAGGCCACCCACGTGTTCGACATCGTGGGGTACAGCCAGATGAAGGGGAGGGGCCGCGAGGAGCACGTCACGTCGGGGACCTTCGTCGTCGGCGGCCTCCACTGGGCCATCCTCCTCTTCCCGGACACCCACGTCATCCTCCTCGACGACGAGGAAGACAACGTCACCGCCTTCCTCGAGCTCCAGAGCCAGGGGGGAAGCAAGGTGCGGGCGTGCTGCGACGTCAGGCTGGTCGACCAGACCACCGGCCTCGCCTCCTCTGCTGCGCCGGCGCAGCCGGATGCCAAGACATTCAAGGTGTTCAATGCCGATGAATCCAACAGGGTCAGCTGTCTCAAGATGAAGAGGACCGAATTCGAGGCGCCGCCGTATCTCGTCGACGATCGGATTACCCTGGAGTGTGTGGTCACTGTCAAGAAGGAGCCGAGGGTGTCGAGAGCTAGACCAGTCCCGAGGATCAAGGTGCCGCCGAGCAACATGATGCAGCAACTCGGCGATCTGCTGGAGTCCAAGGAGGGGGCAGATGTGGTGTTCGATGTCGCGGGGGAGACCTTCCCGGCGCACAAGCTTGTGCTGGCGATGCGGTCTCCTGTCTTCAAAGCGGAGCTATGCGGGCCGATGAGGGAGAGCGGGACAGAGCCTATCAGCATTGTGGATATGCAACCGGTTGTGTTCAAGGCCCTGCTCCAGTTCATCTATACTGATTGGTTGCCGTCAATTCGTGATCTTGAGGGAGACGATAACAGCGAGATGATCCGGCACTTGCTTGTCGCCGCGGACAGATATGCTGTGGACAGGCTGAAGCTGTTGTGTCAAAGCATCCTTTGCAAGAATCTTCGTGTTGGTAACGTTGCAACTACACTGGCTCTGGCTGATCAACATCATTGTGGCATGCTTAAGGATGCTTGCATTGAATTTATGTCATGTCCAAACATGTTGGATGATGTAGTGGCATCCCAAGGGTTTGTGGATCTTGAAAACACAGCTCCTTCTCTCGTCGCTTAGGCAAAGGAAAAAATGGGCAGGTTCAAGAAAATGTCGAGGATGACAAAGAGCAATGCACCGGAAGATGAACCTAACAGTAATTCGTTTAGTTTATAAGTAATATGGATATCTGTCTACTTTTACTGGATCAGGTCCTTGTGGTTACTTTACTCTCTATATAAATAGAAATAACTTAAACACTGGTATTGCTTGCACCTATTGTGTTTAGAATTAACTTTTGGGTAAATTCACATACCTAACTTGCACATTAGACTAGGTTTTGCAAATCAGTACCGAGCTTGTTTTCCAGTTGCAAAATTTGTAACAAAACTTGCTCCAAGCGATAAACTTTTTTCAAGATCCAAACCAAAGTGGAACAAAGGTAGAAAAAATCAATTCATTGTGAAATTTGCTATTATTTTTCCAGGAATACTATTTGACTGGAGTAAATTTTCTAGGATGTCTGTATGTTATGCCTAAGACCACCCTTGCAGTAGGATACCGTCTGCTTTGGGTTCTTTATTATATTATCTCCTTCGAGGGTTTTTTAGGATCATTCAGGCTATATTTAGTCTATTTTGGCTTTTACTTCCTTTTCTCAGGGAAGTGGTTAAAGACCTCAGAAGCAGATTTCTGCTGCTCATTATATGTCCTTGTTTTCTAAGAGCCATGCATATTGAGAAATGAAGGTGAAAATTGGAGGACTGAGTAAGTGAGTATTTCTATTTGATCAGCTAGTGCAGCCCCAACAGTAGATTTTTTTTATATATATGCCAATTTTATGATTCCAGCCTAAGAAGCTATTGTGAAACATTGAACGTGCTGTGTTTGTGGCAACTTTTTTCTTCTCCAAATTTTGTTTTATTAATCTGAGTATTCTACTACTGTATTTGAGTTAATCTATTAAATGCATCAAAGTGAAACTGGGGCAAGTTGATGCTGCCTTTATTCGTTCAGCACAAATCAGCTATTATCACCTTTGGTCCTTTGGTAAGAATTCTTTCAATGTTTCTCCTGGAACTGTGCTTAATTTTGGGGTGATGCAAGTCTGTAACACCATTGCCCTTGGCAAGGATGAAGATACCAACATGTCTGAGCATTTTTTTTTTACTTAATACCCATTTTGGACAAGATACCAAACTCTTGTTAGTTCTGAACCAAATTCTTATATTGATTTTCTATAGCAAATTACCTATTTAAACCAATTAAATCAAGGTTTTACTTAATCCAAAGATGCTCTAACAACTCTACTTCTAGTACTCCCTCTGCTAATGTAATCATGTTTACCTTATGTCACAGCCTACTTTCAGGTGATCTTCACTTCTTCAGCATATCATGAACAACATAATAACCTGAAAAAGATTGAAACGGCATCATTAATGATAGGAAGAAATAAAATTAGTCATATCTGACGAAACATATAGTATCAATTCCCGTGTAAGAACAATATGTGCACAGTAGATTACCATGTAGCACTAAATAAGAAGATTAGGGAAAATTACGACAGGAAAATCCTAAGCAAAACAGAAGACTATTCCAATAAAAAGGAAAAACAGAATCTGGCATATACTGTTCATTTATTTGTATTTTCTCAAAAATATCCGGGATACAATTTTTTTTGGCAGAAGTATGCGTCACAACTATTGCGCAAAAATTACATGGACATGAAGGTGGTGTTTGAATCCAGGGACTTAACTTTAGTCTCTGTTTTTAGACACTAATTTAATTTAGAGTATTAAATATAGACTACTTATAAAACTAATTACATAAATGAAAGCTAATTTGCGAGACAATTTTTTTAAGCCTAATTAATCTATAATTAGAGAATATTTACTGTAGCATCACATAGGCTAATCATGGATTAATTAGGCTCAATAGATTCGTCTCGCGAATTAGTCCAAAATTATGGATGGGTTTTATTAATAGTCTGTGTTTAATATTTATAATTAATATCCAAACATCCGATATGATAGGGATTTAAAAGTTTAGTCCCATCTAAACACAGGTCGAAGTCTCGCATAAGGAAACAGCGATACAGAACAGTGTCGCATAAAGAAAAAGCGATAGAATGTCTTGTCCAACGGTGCCGCTTAATTAGTGATTAATTATCCTAATTAAATTAATTAATAATAATTAGTTATTAATTAGTTGCTAATCAATGTGATTAAACATTAACCATTGCCCCTGTTGGTGAGTTGGGCAGCCATGCCGTGCGGTCTCGCAAATGGGCTGTGCGAGACCGTACGCTCCCACCCAAGCTGCGCGTCGTCACTAAAGTTTACAAACCGTGCGGTTATCACGTGCGATAATTTTCTTAATTTTTGAAACTATGATATATCTCACGGTAATCATACGGTTTTCACGATAATTATGTGGTAACCGCCAAACCATGGGGTGACGGTATCCACTCAAAAACGGTTTAGAGAACCCTAGTCATCAGTCGTCACCCCATCATTCTCACGCAATGGGTCAGCAATACCATATTGCTTTCGTCAGCGACGAAGGTATAGTTGTGCTAAAAATTTTCATCCCGAATATTTCTGAGAAAAAAAATAAACAATATATTTTTAAATTTAATTCGCCTTTATAACCGTAAGGCCTTTTTCCTTTTCTGAATGGGGTTAAGTTCATGGGCCGCCTAATTGGGTCGGCATTAGGCCATCCAAACTAGGCCCAAAAAAGGGCAAAAGGCATCGTGTTGGTCCGTCTCCGAGTTGTTTCCCTATTTGGGCCTTCTCTCGTCTCCGTCGCCGCCGCCTTCTCCAAATCCCCTTCGCATTCGATCCCCTCCCCTCGCCGCCGTCTCCTCCACCTCCGCCGCTCGCCGCCCGATCCCCTCCCATCCCCTCCGCCCCGCCGCCCCGCACCTAGATATGCCGTCGTCGTCGTCGGCGGCGGCGGCGGCGTGCGGGCCCCCGGAGTTCACGCCGGGGTGGAAGACGGTGTCGACGTGCGCCCCGGACGTCGTCGGCGAGGGCGTCCACGTGTTCGACATCTTCGGGTACAGCGACCACAAGGGGATGGGCGCCCACGAGCCCATCAGGTCGGGGGCCTTCTCCGTCGCCGGCCTCGACTGGGTCGCCTGCCTCTACGCCGACGGCTACGGCGTCGCCGGCATCGACGACGTCTCCGCCTACCTCAGGCTCCTCGGCGACGCGCCCACCCCGCGCGTGTGGGTCTCCTGCGAGGTCAAGCTCGTCGACCAGCGCACCGGGGTGGCCTCCACGCCGCAGCCCTTCCTCAGGTACGCCCTGGCGTTCGGCGACAAGTGCAAGGCCCTCCACTGTATGATGATCCCCAGGGGCCAGATCGAGGTGGAGCCCTACCTCGTGGATGATCGCCTCACCATGGAGTTCCATGTCGTCGTCAGGAGAGACCCCCGGGTGTCGAGGACCGCCCGGTTCCCGCGCATCTTGGTGCCGCCGCCCGACATCAAGCGGCAGTTTGCCAACCTGCTGCAGAGCAAGGAGGGCGCAGATGTCACCTTCGATGTCGCGGGGGAGCCGTTCTCCGTGCACAAGCTCGTGCTCGCGATGCGGTCGCCAGTGTTCAAGGCGGAGCTCTGCGGGCTGCTGAGGGAGCCGGGAACACAGCCTATTACCATCGTTGATATGCAGCCCGCCGTCTTCAGGGCCCTGCTGCAATTCATCTATACCGATCAGTTCCCCGTGACGCGCGGTTTCGAGAGACGCGACAATTGTGAAATGATCCGGCACCTGCTCGTTGCTGCGGACAGATACGCCGTGGATAGGCTAAAGCTGCTATGCCAAGGTATCCTTTGCAAGAATCTTAATGTTCACAATGTCGCGACTACGCTGGCACTGGCTGATCAGCATCAATGCGACAAGCTGAAGGATGCTTGCATCGAATTTATGTCATGTTCAAAGAAGATGAAGGGTGTAGTGGCGAGCAAAGGGTATGAGGATCTCCAAAGAATGGCACCTTCTGTCTTGGCGGATGCCGTGGCGCAGATGTCGAAGCTCAACAAAATGTCAAGGGGTAGTGTTCCACAAGATGAGTCTAAGAGCTGTTAGCTTAATTTATAAGGGATATGGGTATTCTTTCTTCTCTTCCTAAATCAGGTACCGTAGTCAGTTTACTCTTTACATTTTGGGAGCACCTTTGTGGTGCTTATCTGTTTATATGATAGATAGGTTTATTTTATCTCTTTGCAAGCTTTGTTTCCATTAACTGACATATAACCTGTTGTCCTTCCGCAAAATTTATTTTGTGCGCCCTTGATCAAAATTTGGATACTGAAGATAATCCTACATTAACATAACTCTGATGGCCTGCTCCGTTGCAATGGAACAGCATCAACATAACAAAATCGCGGTGTTGAGGGAGCATAGTGGCATCAATAGCAATAACATTGACTTAGTTTAGTATTGTCGGTGACTATTGTGGTTCCTTGAAAATTAACTTGCCAGGAATTGTATTTGGCAAGAGTTTGTATGTTTTGACTACAACCTCATATTTATTTTTCCTAATCCATGTTTTAGAAACCTAAATGAACTTCCAGTAGGACCAGGGGCGGATCCAGGAACAAAAAATTGGAGGGGACTCAATTACACAGTTTCTTCAATCTCCAGCCATTTAGGGACCTTTAATTTATCATTTATGGTGAAAAAATTGAAGGAGGTGCTCCGGGGGTATCCATGGGTCTTATGGGTGTATGGGGGACTCGAGTCCCCCTGCACCCACGTTGGATCCGCCCCTGAGTAGGACTGAGTGCTTCTCTTTGATCAACCAGAGCAGCATGTTTTTATTTTTCTCATGTCCCTGAATCAGGGGCCCTGACCATAGCCAATTTGCGATTTGAGCCAATTTGTCATGGAACCAAAAAGAGGGCATCAAGATGCAATAGTATATCAGCGTGACGTTGTGCTCAGTTTGTACTGATAATAGTAGGAAGCACTATATTTCTGGAGGCAGGACGTTGTGCTCAGTTTGTACTGATAATTATAGTACTATGTCAAATTAATTTTTTATAACAAAATAGTATATCAAGATGCAATAGTATATCAAGATGCAATAGTAGGAAGCACTATATTTCTGGAGGCAGGACGTTGTGCTCAGTTTGTACTGATAATTATAGTACTATGTCAAATTAATTTTTTTTTGTTGTAATATATGATTAGAATGGAGGAAGTGTTTGTCAGGTGGTTCTGTGATTGACAGTATACCTCTCTGCTTCTGTCCCTATTTTCAGAATGATTGTTCTGGGCCTTCTCTTAACAGAAGGTTAAAGGCAACCCAGATTATTTATCCCCTATTCTGAAATTTATTCTAAATTACTGGTATGCAGCGCTTTTCATGGTCATGTATTGTGCTTCACTTTGTTATAAACAGTTTGTCCAAAATTCAGGATGCTGTCGCATTGTTACTGAAGTGCAAGCAATATTTATGTATGTCTAAATTTGTAGCTAGGAGTTGGATTATTTTGGGATGGAGGGAGTATTCCATAGATAGTTGTTTGCTTGTCTTTTACTTCCTCTATTTTACAATGTAAGTCATTCTACCATTTCTCACATTCATTTTGATGTTAATGAATCTAGATAGATATATATATCTAGATTTATTAATATCAATATGAATGTGGGAAATACTATAAAGAATTACATTGTGAAACGGAGGGAGTATGAGATTTGATAGGCCGAAGTACGAAGGTAGACTGCATTTTTATCTAGAATCCGACACATATATATGGTAGTCCTCGATAGTTAGAAGGCTGAAGAATTCGAATTCCTATTCGTAGACCTCGATAGTTAGAAGGCTGAAGAATTCCTAGTGGTAGTCCTAACTAAGCTGAAGAATTTTCTGAAGCAAATGCGTCGATAAAATCAACCATGTAGATTGGAGGCGCCTCCAAATCGGGTGCCAGATCCTCTAAAAAAAAATCGGTGCCCGATCCTCTCAAAAAAAAATTGATCGGTCAAATATTGTAGTTGACCATCAATGAATCAAACATTAAATTATACATAGTGAAAAAAAAATCAGCCACTTACATTTTTTTTGAAACACTTGTAAAGACACGTTGAAACAAATTACTGTCACGTATGAAACATTGCATTGAGTATTAATGGACTGAAACATATATTTTTTTCCACTAGAACATAATTATGTAATACCTTATTGTGAAGATTTAATTACAACGAACAACGTTAGATTTAATTATAACGAATACAATAATGTTATTGGAACATAGATTAGAGAGGAGAGACAATAGGGGCAAAAAGAAAGTCGGTCAAATGTTGCAGTTGACACCTAGTGAAACATTAGGTTATACATAGTGAAACGATAAAATCAGTCACTGCAACATTTAATTGTTTTTTTTATAAAATCAGTCACTGCAACATTTAATTGTTTTTTTTTGAAACACAGTGAAGACACGTTGAAACATGTTCCTATCACGTATGAAACATTGAGTATTAACAGAATGAAATATATGTTTTTTTTTTCATCAGAACATAAACATGCGATATCTTGTTGTGAAGATTTAATTATAACGAATACAATGGTTTTATCGGATGGTAGATTAGATAAGTACTTTAAGACAAAAATCATTTTGAATGTTGCTAAATCCATGCATGCATGCATGGATAGATAGGAGAGAGAGAGTTGGGGCAAGTAGTTAAATAAATTTTGTGAAATACACTCAATGTACATTTTAAAACATGTCCCTATCACATAGGGAACATTAAGTTCTAACGGTCTGAAAAATATATTTTTCTTTTATCAAGATATAATCATGTGATATCTTATTGTAAAAATTTAATTGTAACAAATTCAATGGTACGATCAAATCGTAAATCGGATAAGTAGTTTAGGAGAAAAAAATATTAAAAGTGATGAGAGAAAAGAAAAATAAACTAGTTAGTCTTGCATGCATGCAGTATCATGGAGCCCCATTTTTTCTCTTCAAATCGGGCCTCTCGCTGTAGATTTCTTGAAAAATAAATCTTATTGCCAGTGCCAACTGCCAAGGATAAGGTATACCTTCTATAGATGGGGTCATGGAATACATTAATACTATATACTACAATATAATGTATTAGAGTTCTAGTCGCGGAAGATAAGATCCTTTAATTAAGTAAATATGTAGATAAAAAAGGTTAATTAAGGAAATATGGTAGATAAAGAAGTAAATTATCTTTTCGGAATAAGAAGGTATTAGAATCCTAGTTGGGAAAGATAAGGTATTCTATATCTCCTAGTTTTACTTGGAAAGGAAAATGATCTTCGGTATAAATACAAGACTCCTGAGGAGAAAGGACATGCCAAGCCAGATTCAAGCCAATATAGATCTAGACAAACCAAATGTGGGAGCCAAAGATGCCGACGTAAGGGATCTAGAGCTATCTCCAATCTCGCCGAATTCATATTCGAGGACAAAGACTGCACTAGCCGTTGGCTATTTGTGAGAGCTCCATGCCACCATGCTACTAGATTAGATTATCTAAAATATTGTACTTGTGTGATACTGATATATAAAGGCAAAACACCGGTTTCGGCCAACAGGAGTTGGGTTATTACATGTCATTTAAGGGGCCTGAATCTATATAAACATCTTTGTCTTCTATCTCTTTTACTACAATCTCGCGTATATCCTGGTTCCAACGATCCCCAAACTCTACAAATATTGTATGGGTATAGTCCGTCAAAAGTGGTGCGCTAGGTAGGGGGACTTGGTGCTTCAAGGTTTCGATGCGATGGGTTTCAATAGACGGATTCTTTCGATAACAAACTCCTCGATGACTTCGACTTTGGGAGATATGACCTGATCGAAATGCGTTCTCCTATAAAGCAGGACCCTTATTATCTCTATCTTTCTCAAGAGATCGTCATTGTGGGTTTTTCGATGAGGGACACTTCAACAACTTTGGCTCTGCTATATATGACCCAACTAGAGTATGTCACCGCCAACAACCAGATCTATCAAGATCAACCAAGTTTCAAGACGTCGCAACCGTGGAGAACAATAGTTCAATGTTGTCGACAACGAGGCCCCAGCTCGGATCAACTACTTCCATCCTAACATTGCATCCAAAATTTGATTGGATCAGACCGGCCCAAAGGCACGACCAGCCCATCGACAATAGCAGCAGCAGGCTGAGCACTATGGTCGACGACATCAGCGGCTGCCAAAGCGGTGGCCTCCGTGCCAATGCTAGTAGAGGCGTAGCTAACGGGGGATGGCCCCAAGAATACGGAGATCCGAGGCGGATTCATGGATCTCCTATCTCTCCACCCCTCTACCCTCTCGGTTCTCACTCTCACAAGTAGAGCGGTGGAGGAGGAGGTGAGGAGGATGAGGAGAGGAGAGAAAAGCCGAGCCGACAACCAAGTAGGTCGTGCCGTGCTGGGCATGGCCCAACGGCCAGGCTAGGCCAACATGAGCCCAACAACAGTCGGGCCGTGCCGTTCTTGGACTAGGTCAAATTCTAGTGCCATGTGCCGGGCCATCGGGCTGCGGGCCTTTTGGCAAACTATACCTGTAGCAAAATTTACCAAAAGAAAATGTAGCAGAATTTTCCAAGCCGGACAATAGCTTAAAAAAATATTGTAAATGATGATCAGTCGATTCAGTAAATATACGAACAATCGTTTCAGTAAAGTAATAATAATAGTAAATTGCATCGCCGGTATACAAACTTGTCAGGTGGGTATAATTTAGTGCACGAACTTGTGAAATGCTCGTTTTGGTGCATGAACTTGTCTTGTGCATGCGGAGGAAGGCGAAAAGGACACTACATTACTAATCTTATTGATTTAGGGCATATCTCTTAGAAGTTTGCTATTAGACATACACTTCTTCAATAAAGAATAGAATATGATATAGTGATAGTAGAAAAAGAATAAAAAGACAAGCAATGGTACAAAGGTTAGAAATATATGAAATTCATCATTTCCATGGTGAAGAATAAAATGGAGACCAAATTTATAAATATTGAATATCCTATAGATACTCACTACACGTATGCAAGTCACATTCTAATCAACATCACTTCATAAAATTAACATTGTCAAGTTATTTTGGTCCTCGTTCGCACCAACTAGGCAAGTTCGTGTACTGAAATGAACATTTTACAAGTTTATATACTAAGGCCCTGTTTGATTCAGCTTAGGATTATTATAATCTGGATTATTAGAAATAAGCTAAAACAAACGGATAGCTTATTATGATAGATTATTACAATCTATAAACCAGATTACTATAATCTCAACTCTAAAGGTGCTTTTTAGATTATTGGGTGGCTAACAACTAACAAGCCGCTTATAATCTAGGAAAACAAACAGCTCACAGCTTATTTTATGCCAACTTATCATAATTCAAATTATAGTAATCTAGTTCAATAATCTAGATTAATCTTAAGCTCGAACAAAAATGGCGAGAATGCTTCTCATTGGGTGTCCGGGCCGACGCAAAAAATCGGATGGTAGTAACCCTCTTCACCCGAGACAACAGAAGTCCTCACGTGCACGCAGGGAGTTAGTACACATCAGCACACGTCAAGTGCATGCGTCCATGCATATTCAAATATTCAAAATTTAAATACATGTTTCTCTACAATTATTTATCCACCTACGATTTAATTATACCATTAGATTCATTATAATTACATCTTTATATAAAGATCTTGCATGGTTATATCAGACAGCGGCGAGCGGCGGCGGACGGGCAGACAGCGCACAGGGGCGGCGGCACGCGGGGGTGGACGGGCGGTAGCATGCGGGCACGCGCGGTGCGAGGCGAGGCGGCGGCCCGTGGCTCATGGAGAGCAGCTCGTTCGCCGTCGGCATGAACGCCCGGCATGTCTCCGGTTACATGGCGTAGCTCGTGGAAGATGGTGACGACGATGAGGTCGTTGGCCATGACCACCAGGGTGGTCGGTGCAGACGGCGATGCTCGGAGTGGCACGCACGACAGCAGGCAGGCCTCTAGCTGCCGCCTCCGCCACCAGCCCGTCCCCCCTATCCCGAGCCTCGCCTCCAGCCTCCTCCGCCACCAGCCGCCGCCCCCATCCCGAGCGCCATCCCAACGGCGAAGAAGAAGACCGGACCGCGGCGTCGAACGCCTACCTGCCGCCGTCCGCGCCGCCGTGCCGTGCGTGCTGCCCTGCCTACCGTCGCCCACCGCCACTCCCATCCAGACGACGAAGAAGAAGACCGGACCTTCCCCTCTGCGTCTTGCGCCGCCGTTGCTCCCTCCCGGCGGAGGAGTTCGCTGTCGCTGCCTTTGTGTCCCGCGCGGACGCCGCCTCTATATCCCGCGCCGTCGCTACTCCCTCCTGGACTGCGGCACAGAACACCTGCCTCGCCGACCACCCACACCCACTACCCGTCCCCACACTGCCGTGCGCGCTACGAGAGAGGAACAACAAGAGAGAGGAAGAGCGAGAGATAGAAGGGAGAGGGGAAGAGGGGTATGACATGTGGGTCCCACATTTTTTAATAAATAAAATGCTGATTGGATTGCCATAAGTACGCTACGTTGGACAAAACCGCTTTGGATTGGGTCGAGAGGGGTAATTTGTCTGGTATTAAAAGTTCAGGGTGAACGATGATTGGTTTTCGGGTTTAGGGGGTAATTCGGTCGACCGCGCTAGTTTAGGGGGTAATTCGTACTTTTTCCTAATTTTTTTAGTGTTGCACATAGTGTTATTTAGATGTTTCACAAAATATTTGCTAATGTTGCACGTGGTATTTTTTCGGATGTTTCAAAAAATATATTTTTATGTTTCAATAATTACAACTCAATGTTTCATGCATGATATAAAAACATTTCAACAAAATCAAATATATGAAAATATATTGTATGTTTCATATAATTTTTTTATGTTTCATTCGTTAGGACTTAATGTGTCATGTAACAGTTGTTATTGTTGTAATCAATATTTTTTATATGTTGCATCTCTATGAAATATATTTCATTAAGTAAGTTGAAACATTTGCACAAATAGTGAAACATTTTTTTTTCAGTAAATAGTGCAACAATGATTGATTTTTAGGAAAAACATATATATTTTTCATCAAAATACGGGGCCACCTACGAATCAGGCGCCCGATTTTTTTTTTCAAAAATCGGGGTTCCACCAAGTAGATCAGAATTGTTTCACTAAGTAGATCGAAAATGTTTCAATTGTTTAAAAAGCTGAAACACAACCAAATCACCTCATTAAACATTTTGCTACAGCGTATGAAACAAAGGGTTTCCTAAAAAATCGGGCGATGTTTTACCTTATATAAAAACAATGTTTCAGCAAATAGCAAAAGAATGTTTCAATTCACTGCAACATTTGATCCATATGTAGTGAAACATTATAAGTACACTAGGTGAAACATTTTTGGTGGAACAAAAAAAAATGAAACGGCTTCCCTTAATAGAGAGTTTCTGTAATATTGGGTGATTTGTTGCAAAAGAATATAGGTAGAGTTAGCGGTGTTTACACCGGTGTCATGTGTACGGGGGTACGTGTATTGAGAAAAAAGGCCGAGAAGGCCTGTTTTCGAAGCTAGAACATAGGTTCAGTGAGGTTTAGGTACTTTGACACCTAAACCGATTTGAAATGCGTAATATCGCATTTCTATAAGCATAGTATTGTCCCTCGTTGTGCATGCGCACGTGCACACATGTGTGATGTGCGCATGCGTATGCGCACGTTCTATTGGTACACGCGGGAAGCCTTCTCCCTCTCAGATTCAAGAGTCAAGACCCTAAACAAGAAGCAGCTTGTTCTTTCGCGCTACTGCGCTCAATTCGTTGCTTGTTCCTTTCCTTTGGATTTATTATCATAGGTAGTGTTCGAGATCGCCTCTGTGCGGTGAACGCTCGAATTAATTCACTGCAACTTTTGATCTATACATAGTAAAACATCATAAGTATACTAGCTGAAATATTTCTTGTGGAACAAAAAAATGGAACAGATCCCCCTAATAGGGCGTTTCCGTAATATGTGGGTGATTTGTTGCAACGGTGGGGCGGGTGGTGGGGATACGTGGTGGAGGCGTGGGAGGCGTGGAAGGGTAGGGGCCGATCTTTTCTCCCCCCGTCGGGCACCTATGGGGAGGATTTCCGTCAAAATACAAATGTGTGTGAGATCTTGTTTTAAAGATTTAATTGCAACGAATGTAATGATGTAGTCAAATCATAGATCAAATAATTAATTTATAAGAAAACATATTTAATTTCGAAAAACAAGTTGCTAGTTGCACTACTATATGTATTGTGATGAGTGAGAGAGCACTGAGATACTACATGCCAATGCCATGCAGTAGCAGTGCCAGCGTATAGCACACGTTACACTAGGAGCATGAACCTTGCGTGTGCTAGTTGTTGATTTGCTATTAGTTATTGGATGGATATCGTAAGGCTAACATGGCCTAAATTGCATCCACCTAATATGTTTGTATACCACCAATATAATAATTTACTCGTAATAATAATATCCCAATGGAGCAGTCGAGCGCGGAGCCTAGTATTGACGTGGAAATTTCCAGGCCGTCCGATGGGAAGCTAACGCACGGGATAAACCCTACACTGATGAGAGAATAACGAACCATCCGCCTCCCACGATCTCGTCTCCTCCCCCAAAAACGCCGCCCCTCTCCCCTCTCATCCTCCTCGACCTCTTCGGTGATTCCGCCTCCGCGAGGTGCTCTGCTTGATCGAGCCGCCTCCACCTCTGCCGCCGTCGATCCTCGACGCCGGTCTCCAGCTTGCAGGTACGAACGTCCTCTTCGCCTCGGGTCTAGTTACTTTTACATCTGGATGTATAGGATAGTTCTCCCTTGCGAATTATGGATTTTATTTTTGTTGTTCTTTTATACATGCGCGACATATCTAATGTACAGATTCAGATCCATGGATATCTAGTTTGTGTTCAATTCAATTGATGTGTAGTTGGTAATCTTTTTTTTTAATCTATACTCTTGTGTGTAATTAAAATAGGGGAAATTCGGTCTATGACATCGCATCAACCTGAAATTAAGAGAGAAATTAGGTCAGCCAACATTGGATGGGCTCTTGTATGAATTGATTGACCGTGCCGATCAAGAATTTCTTTGTTTTCCTTTTTGTTGTTGTTGTTATTCATAAGATTTAAGTTTTTTGTTTGGCTAGAGAGGAATAGGAGGATTTTCCAAAACGTGTCTTGCTCCGTTAGCGAAGTAGCCTATTTGATAAAGCAGGACTTAGATTTGCGAAAGACGGCCTTTAAACCTCCCTGAGGTTCTTTAGTTTCGTCTGAACTTCTATCCCTTCAATGGGATTGTAAATACTTTTGGTTTTTTCCTCCTTTCAATTAAATTCCGGCAGTTCTTCTGCCGTCGTTTCTGCTCAAAAAAAAAGATTTAAGTTTTTTTTTAATCCGAGTGGGCATTCAAGACAATACTCGCAATCGATATATGCATGTGTTGTTCATATACTCCTCCATTTCTAAATATTTGACGCCGTTGACTTTTTTTAAATATGTTTAACCGTTCATCTTATTCAAAAAATTTAAGTAATTATTAATTCTTTTCCTATCATTTGATTCATTATTAAATATACTACTTATATGCATACATATAGTTTTACATATATCACAAAAGTTTTTGAATAAGACGAACGGTTAAACATGTGCTAAAAAGTCAACGATGTCAAATATTTAGAAACGGAGAGAGTATATTCTTTAGAAGGTAGTAATAACTTAGGCAGACTTTTTCCTGCAAGAATTAATTCTTTGCATTGTACTGTTTGCTTTGTATTGTACCATACCTGTATGAGAGAATAAACATAACACATGCACCATGGATAGTAACCTAATTTTAACCCCTATTTCTCTCCAGACTAAATAAAATAAAATAAAATTCTAACAAATGCTGCTTGTACCCAGGAAATTAAGGGTGTGCAATGGACCGTCTCCCTGACGATGTGTTCATAAAAGTGCTCCGCTGCCTCCCTGCAAGGATGTGTCCAAGGAATGGTGCACTATCATCGACACCAATCGGCTGCTGCTCCCACATGTTCTGCCACACACTCAGTGCACGGCATCTTTTCCAACTACCTTGACCATGACATGACGCACTTCTTCTCCCGCCCTAGCTACTCCGCGGGCTGTGGGATTGATGGGTGTTTCAAGTTTTTACCCATTGACGCTATAGGATTTAACAAGGTACTGGACCACTGCAATGGCCTCATCCTGTACCACGGCAAAATCTCAGAACAATATAAGCTATTTGTCTGCAACCCCGCGACGCATCGATGGGTCCAGCTTCCACCGTTCACAGAATATGATAGTCTATGCATTAGTGCTGAGTACCTCGTCTTCGACCCTGCAGAGTCTCTGCACTATGAGGTGTTCCTGATCCCTGATTTGCCTGAAATTCCTACCAAGAAGAAGTGCCACAAAGGTCCACTCGTGGGTAAGGACGCTACAGCGGAATGGCCACCGTCTGTGCACACATTGTGGGTATTCTCGTCGAGGACTGGGAGGTGGGAGGATAAGGCTTTTCTCCATGAAGGCCACGCCACCAACATGGCAGGGACATCATTAGAGGTGCTGTTGGATTCACCAGACATGATGTCTTGGGGACCGCGATTTATACGTGCGGAGTACTGGAATGGTGCACTCTACGTGCACTTCCAAGGTTCTTTTGTTATGAGGTTTCCACTGCTAATTCATCATCTGCATTTGCTTTTGTTTTATTGTAGCAAGGAACCCTTGGCATGACAGTTTTAGCCTATTTTTGTCACCTTCAACATTAGTGAATAGAGCATTCACTAGTGGAGAACTGATCTTTTCCCGTGGTATCCAAAATCACAATTGTCCCGGTTAGATTAAGAACCGGTACTAAAGATGCTCCAAGTCCCTCAAAACATTTTTTGTCCGGGTTGGTGTTACCAACCGGGACTAAACATTGATCTTTAGTTCCGGTTGGTAACACCAATCCGGATTAAAGATGGAGGATCTTTGTTAACACCAATCGGGACTAAAAGTATCTTTAGTCCAGATTGGTGAGATTGGTGGAATAAAAATTGATCTTTAGTCCCGGTTGGTAACATCAACTCGAACTAAAGATGCCTCCAATGTTAGTTTAAAAATAAAGCACCTCTATCCAAGTTAGATGTGTGTATTAGTTGGGATGGTAACGCGCGTGAGAGCTGAGGTAAGAGATCTTGAGCTCGAATCCCACATCCCACACATTTTTTTGACTTGGTATGCATTTTAGTCCCGGTTGTTTCAACCGGAACTAGATGCGCATCTTTAGTCCCAGATTGGACGTTCCGGTTGCACAACCGGAACTAAAAAGGGTTGCCAACTATTCAGGTATAATTAATCTTGATTTCTTAAATGCAAAAGGGCCAAATGTGTAGAAAATCTCATCACTAACCAGAAACCAATCGATCATTGGTTGTACACGAACTAGTGATCAGTGATGATGTTAAAATGATGAATCTGTATAATGCTAGTCATCCTTTATTTGTGCTAGCAAGACAGTTAATTCGTTGAGAGGTTTACAATTGTTTTCTACCGAGTAAACTATTACTCATCAGTAGAATGGTTAAGCTAGTCATCCTATATTTGTGCTAGCAAGATAGTTTCGTTGTTATTTTGAGGTTTACAGTTACAGTGCTATATTTCGTTGTTGCAGTTGTTTTGAGGTTTACTGAGTAATCTGTGTCGGTAATGGTTAAAGTACATGAAGACAATTAATCCACCCCGTTTAACCCCATTTAATGGTTAAGCTTTTCATTAGACCGGTTGTTGTCATATAACTCAACTTAGACTTGATATATTATGTCTTTTCTTGTATGATTATGTGATCCATCATCTTCTATCGCATTGGAATAGACGGTTAAACCCTAACATTTTTCATACTGAGCTATTTTCATTGAAATCATATCCCTATACAGCAAAATAATTATTCTCATGGTGTTTTATAGGCTGTCAATTTTGGGTGCTAAGTACCGTGTAATCAAAACACCAAGATTTGATGGACCTGGCGGATACACATAAGATGTTCTTGGAAGATCAGAAACCGGGATATACTATGCAAAACGTCAGAATTTTCAACTTCGGGTGTGGGCACTCGACGAATCACATGAGCTGACAAAGTGGGTGGTCAAGTATGATGTGAACCTTTGTCCCTTAACCAAGCTAATAGAAGGTTTGTTCTGATGGCATCATGCAAAGATCAACAAAATGTGGATCCTAGATGAATCTGATGACGATGACGATGAGGAGGAAGACCAAGACAGTGCTGAATGGAACTCTGATGATGATAACATCAACATTATCGGAGACCTTAGCAAGAACAAAGAAGAGGAGATGAGCATGTGGACATTTGGTAGCGTTGACTTGCTGGGGTTTCATCCATACAAGGAGGTCATCTACTTGATGGATTTAGATGAGGTGGTAGCTTACCATCTGAGGAGCTCCAAGGTTCAGTACTTAGGTTGTAATCGCTTAAATGAGTACAATAGGGGCATGGAGAAGTCATTCTTTTACACCCCTTGCTTCGTCGATTTGATTCCAGAAGGTGCTCACCAAAAAAGTTCATGAATATGTTCATTTCAAAAACAAACACCGTACATCATAGTTAGCTGCTAATTGCTCTTTTATGGGGAATAAGGCACTGTGTGCAACTAACCATTACCTTAAATTTGTGAATTGTCCTTACTACATTTTTATTAAATGTCAGAATTTTCCTTACTAACCATTATCTTAAATGTCAGAATTTGACATTTTGAATTAAAACAGAGGTTATTCATTTTGAAATATATAAATTTGATGTGATGCATTTTCGTTTCATAATTCATAATTACCTTCATTTGTGAGGAACCTCCAAACAAAATAATATTTAGAGATATATCGTACCCATCTACAGCAAGATATTCATGGTGAGTTCGTCATGTCAAGATATATATATCGGCTTTAGTCTTCCGAATATGCTCATAGAGCTAGTTGTGTGTGTGCGCGTATTATGAGTGTCTGCGTTTATACTGTATTTTTAAAAAAATATTCAGAGAACTTTGAAACAAAATAATATTTAATGTCATGCATGGATGTGCATATTAACATTCGGTAGAAAGTTGCAATTTTTTATTGCACCCGTTATTTCTGCATGTGTGCTTAATTTGGAAGGATAATTATGACCGTTAATATGTGCTTGAATTTATTAATTACTCCCACCTATACTCTCTCCATTTCAACTACTTTTTTGAAAAATATTTATAATACAGAGCATATGCATTAATACATGTAATTAAATTAGCACTTATTTTCTAATAAATTATTATTTATTAAATTATTTACTCTCAATTTTTCTAATTCTATTGGATGTATGTATTATATTTATTAAAATGATTCAAACGAAAATATGGTAATAATAGTTTCTTAATTTTTGTGTTAAGGGTGATTGTGCTTTATTTTTTGAAATGGAGGGAGTAAGATGTTCTGAGTTTTTTTTTCTAGTCAAATTCTAAGCTTATAAAAAAATATAGCAATAATTATATTTTATTCAACATTAATTTGATAATGTAGAAATTGCTATTTTTTCAATAAATATAGTAAAACTACTATGGAAAGGGCTAAAACGTTTGATAATATAAAATGAAGAGAGTAGAAATTATTGTTTTATAAGTGATTTTGGGTGGATGTGACACATCGACATATTTGTTGTACTCGGATGTGTCATATCCATCCAAAATCCCGTATATTATGAGACGGAGGGAGTATAATCTCCATCTCTACTATTATAAAAATTGAGGATGCTTTTGCTTGTACTTTTGGTACGTCATCTGTATATAAGTCGGTTTTTAAGTTCGTTCGCTTTTAGAAACACAAATCCATATTTGAGTCAGTTTTTAAGTTAGTTCATTTTTGAAATATATAGAAGAAATCATATAAAAAATCTCTTTTAAAAAACTCGCATGCTAATTTAAGTTGATCGGACTCTTAATTGTAGCACATGATTTTCTAACAAAATATATATCAAGTGAATTTAACGCAATGAATTTCACCTTAACTAAGCCATATAATAATAATAAGATTACAATAGTCTTCCCCGTTGCAACGCATGGGCTGGGCATTTTTCTAGTATTTATAAAAATGTAAAACAAATGAGAATTCAATGACCGTTAGACCTTGAATTGCACAAGATAGCTTTCAGGCCAGGATAATTGTAGAATGAATATTCAAAGTTAAGAGAAACAATGAAAATCACATTTGGACTTGGCTAAATGCTTCCAATATTTCTGAAAGTTGAGTTCTTACAGTTTTGCAATACAAACTAATCAAGCATCTATTTGCGAGTCTCATGAGTTCACTAATCTTCCCTTAAAAAAAGAGTTCACTAATCACCACTAAACAAATAGCAGAAGTTCCTAAATGATGTATGTCATATACCTAATTAAGTAAATGCTATGCACATATTAACCTGCCTTACCAAGTAATCAGGTTATGCTCTACAGATTACACCTGATCCTAACATTTAACAGTAACAAGATCAGAAGTAATCGAGTTCAGGCTAAAGGGCAATGTTTCAATACAAAACATTTTTGAGTTTTCAGTTCTATGAGGCCAAACATCATCTTCAACCTTCGTTGACACCGTTGGATGGAAAAGAGGGCATTCATTAAAAAATCGGGGCAATGCAGAACAGCATTACATAGCACCTGTTTAGCTCTAAAATTTCAAGTTTACTGCTGTTCAGGCCTACATTTTACCACCTTCATAAGGTTCAACATGGTAAAGAATTTCTCTATATTGTGCTTGCTGGTGTAAAAGATAATTAGTTTTTACTCTGCATAACTAATAGAACACCAATGCAGTCAATAAAATCCTCTGATAATTATGAACTATCCAAAGTTCCCATTGTAGCAGTAAAACATGAGCACGCAAAGCTATGGAGTAATTATTCGTTAATATAGACTTGGTGCAATATAACCAGGTTTAGCCATTGGACTCGAACGCCAGATGAAACTTAAAAGCCTTACAGCTAACCAGATAACCAAACATTAATCATGAACACGATCATCCAAACAAATTTCAACTATACAAAATTATTGCAATGATTGATCAATTAAACGATCATACCGGCACTAAAGACCAATTAAGCTAGTCATGCCGCAAAATGCCATGTCTCTGCAGGCAATATATAACAGAATATTAAAATGACAGCATCAGTGTGTTGCTAGTTATGCTGCTATATTCCCACACTCAGTGGAATGGAACTTTTTTCTAATGTTGTTCGACTCAGCACTTGAGAGCTTGAGGCTATGACAGATCCTTACATCGATATCCAACTATTGTTCATCTAACACTTTTCCCCAAAAGGAGATCATAACTTAACACAGCACATATAACCCCCGGTGTTAGCAGAGCTGCTCTTGCAAAACAGACATGCTATTTATACAATTTAAGAACTAGAACCTACTCCTAGACACCACCTAAGAAGAAGGGGTTCATTAGCATTTAAATTCTACGGAACTTACTTGCCTTCTCGAATACATCAACTAAGACAGAAGGGCAAGTTCTCTTGAGATCAGCATAGCCTTCAGTTGCCACCACATCATCCATCTTGTTTTGATTGGTGATAAATTCAATGCAAACATCTTTAAGGCCATTGCAGTTATGCTGATCAGCTAAAGCCAATGTAGTTGCGACGGTCTGCACATCAAGATGCTCGCCAAGGATGCTTTCGCACTGCAACTTCATCCTGTCCATGGCATACCTATCAGCAGCCACAAGCAAAAGCCTGATCATCTCATAGTAGTCGTCGTCACTGAGATCATCCATGTCCGGCAACGAATCGGTGTAGATGAAATGCAGGAGGCCCCTGAAAACATCAGGTTGCATGTCTTCCACGGTTACCCGCCGGGCCCTCTTCTCCTTCATCTGCCCATAGAGCTCCGCCTTGAAGACGGATGACCGTGCTGCAAGGATGATCTTGTGAGCGGCGATTTTCTCTCCTCCAACAACGAAAGTCACATCCGACCCTTCCCCCTTCTCCAACAATTCGCCAAAATTTTCCGATAAATCTGACGGCGGCACATTGATTAATTCATGGGCCTTCACGGTATTAGACGCCATCGATTCCTTGACGATGACGGTAAGAAAGCATTCGATGGTGAGGCGATCGTCCTTAATGTAGCCTGACGCTTCCATCTCCAGATTACTTCTATTCATGAAAGTCGCATAAGGCGGAGCAAATTTGCTACTGTCATCAGAATTGAACATTCTGTGAGTTGTTTCAGAGTAGACACTCATTGGCAACCCGGTGGCATGTTTAACCAATCTCAGGTCGTAGGCCGCCCGGACGGCGCAGTTCTTGGTCAGGAGCTCGAGATACACCGAGATGTAGTCCTTGGCACCATCGCCCTTGCCGTGGGGGTAGAAGCGGATGCACCAGTCGTAGCCGCCGACGGCGAAGGTGGCCGATTCGATGAACTCGTCCACGCCGATGCCCTTCTGGAGGCTATACCCGACGATCTCGAACGAGTGCGTGCCTTCCTCTGACTCCGTGGTGTGCCTCGACGCCGTTGTATTCTTCTTCTTGGACACCATCCCCGGCTGCGAAATTTCCAAGAATCGATCGATCAGAGCAGGTTGGGGGGATCGGATCAAATCTGGGGGGAAAGAGGCAAGCTAGCTCTTCTTGCGGCGGCGGAGGCGGAGGCGGCGGAGGAGGAGGAAGCGCGGGGTGAAGCTGATGGATACTAACCTTGGGTGCGTTGAGAGCAGAGGCGATCGGCGGCGGCGCGGCGGTGGTTGCGGGGGAAGATGGTGAGCGACGACGGCGAGGAGGAGGAGACGCCTCTTCGATCTCCTACATTAAACCCTAGGCAGTGAATTTTTATATTTTGCCCCCTCCAATTGGAAATCCAACTTTTTCTTGGATTTTTGGATTAAACAAATCGAATGATTTTTGGATTCCAATTCAATCCAAACTCAGCCAAGTCCCGTACTATTAATCTCCCGAATCTCCTGAAGATGAAGATGTAGATAAAGATTAAGTGTTTCACGTAAAACGAGACGGTAATATCGTGTGACTAATTGAGTTTTAATTATTACAAACTTAAGAAATAGATTAATGTTATATTTTATAACAACTTTCATATAGAAAATTTTCGCATGAAACGCACCGTTTAACAGTTTGAAAAGCGTGCTACAAGTATCCAAAATTTCATCCACTCTTTTCATTAGAAACGAACAGATAGCCCAGTCATATTCGGTTGACACTAGGAAAAACACATCGCTTTGTTGGGGAATTTAACTATTTACCACTTTTAGGTTTGGCAATTATCCAAATATTCTTCTTAGGTTTGCACTTAATTTTTTCCCCCTCTTAAGAGGTGGTCCCTTAACTATTTGCCATTTTTGCCCACGTAGCATGCCAGTGTGGCAAACTCGGGTGAAAAATGTTGTGGGACCCACTCGTTAGTCTCTCACTGCCCTTCATCTCCCCTCGCGTTCATCGCCGGCTCGCCACCGCCGCCCCTCTTCTCTCTACCGCGTGGCTGCGACCGCCCCATCGACGCCGGCGCCGCCTCGTGGCCGACCAGGGCATCGCCGAGACGCTGAAGCTCAACATGGTGCTCGTCCTCCTCCCCGTCTGCCGTAACGATGGGGTGGCGGCTGCGGAACGGTTCCCGGCGGTGGTCGGCCACGAGGCGGCGCCGGTGTCGATGGGGCACGGTCGGCCGCGCGGTGGAGAAGAGGGGTGGCGGTGGCGAGCCGGCGATGAACGCAGGGGAGATGAAGGGCAGTGAGAGATTAACAAGTGGGTCCACAACGTTTTCACCCGAGTTTGCTACGCTGGCATGCTACGTGAGCAAAAGTGGCAAATAGTTAAGGGACCACCTCTTAAGAGGGGCAAAAAAAAAGTACAAACCTAATAAGGGTATTTGGATAATTGCCAAACCTAAAAGTGGCAAATAGTTAAATTCCTCCTCCTTGTTCGGTGTCGAATCGGTAACGAGAACGGGTTATGAACACGATTTTTTTGCCCTATTTCTCTGTTACTTTGGATCGGTGCGGAGGCCCGTATAGGGTGAATGAACACGATTACATATGAAAATGCTCTGGCTCGATCAGGCGTTCGAGTGGAAAGAGAATATCGGGCTTTTGCGTCCCACTGCCCTTTTCTCTCCTTCTCTCTCAATCTTATCCATTCCCCTTCTCTCTCTACATTGTTTCTCTCCACACGAGGCGCTTCTCGACTCACTCCTCATCCGTACGGCGATGTCACCGAACAGGTTCACTAGTGGTTGCGGCGACGGTGACAACAACCAGATACGTAGCCTTGACCCGACAGCCACCGTAGCAGCCGCAGCCGCCGCCCTCGCGACGCGGCTCGGGACGACGATCTAGCTAACCACTGGAGAGAAGGAAGAAGTGTATCTAGCTGGTATTTTTTGGGTGATTTTTCGATAATTCCAATCTATGTATTTAGATGTTTTATTAGTTAGATCGAAGTGATTAAGGCCCGGTTTAGTTACCAAAAATTTTTGTTTTGGGGTGTCACATCGGATATATGGACACACATTTGAAGTATGAAACGTTGTCTAATAACAAAACAAATTACAGATTCTGCCAGCAAACTGTGAGACGAATTTATTAAGCCTAATTAATCCGTCATTAGCAAATATTTGCTGTAACACAACATTATCAAATCATGGTGCAATTAGACTTAAAAGATTCGTCTCGCAATTTATACGCAAATTGTGTAATTGTTTTTTTTCCACATTTAATACTTCATGCATGTGTCCGAACGTTCGATGTGATGGGTGAAAAGTTCTTGTTTTGGGAACTAAACAATGCCTAAGTGGAGTTTTTTTTATGGTGTTTCATTTTTTTTCTCAATTTCACTTGGATCTTGTTGATATTTCAATGACTTTAATCATTTGTTTCATACGTTGAAGAAAATTATTTCATCTGGTGATCAAATTGTGTTTCACTATTTTCAAGAACTGAAATATTCTTTCACTAAGCGCTAAAACATTGTTTTACGAGGGGTGAAATGATGCCTGAGTTATTTTGGGAAAAATCGGGCGTCTGCTTTGTAGTTATTTCCCGATTGCATATGGGCGGGCTTTTTTACCTCGTCGCAGGCAGTCCCCCGCGGCCGCCAGCGCTGGTACACGCCATCAGGTTCATCCTCCGTTTCCCCTCTCTCTCTCTATCGCACAAATTTGAGCGAGCCCTCATCAGTTGATCTGAATTTCTGCTTGCCCACAAGTATACAAGTTTCAAGTATGACTTCAACAAAGACAGATGTGAATTTGCTTGTTCGAATAATTGCATCATCTCAGTACACGCAGTCTTGGGAATATATTGCTGGTCGTTTGCGTCATCAGTACTTACTGCGGTCTTATGAGATATTTTTAGTGATGCTGTTGTATTGGACACAACTACATCGATCGGTTGACTACTATGATATTCATGTGATTATTTGCTTCTTTGGTTGAGCCAACGGAGGAAAATCTGCAATATTGTCTATAAACCAGGTAGAGAACTCTTTTTAACTATTCAGTCTCATACCAAGTCTTTCTTTCCTTTTTTTCATGAAAAACATTAGCTGCAAGTCTTTCTTTTTTTATAGGGTGCAAGTCATTTTTTTAACAGGTACTCCTACGTACTATTTCTCAAATTCATGAATAGAAAAGCTCCACATGCAATATTGACAGACGACAGTATGTATCTCTAGGAGGCAATTCAAAATGAGCTTTTAGGAAGTTCAGAGAAATTATCAGGTTGGCTTTCATTTATTCATGTTAAAGGGCAATGATGTTTGAACACTAAACCTTTTTTGAATTTTCAGTTCTACCAAAATAAAGACATTTAATCTTCATGTTCAAAGAGGCTAAACATGTTCGATGAAGAAAATATATTCGTTACAACAAGCAAGGCCAATGTAGTATGTATTGCCTTGCCCCTGTTTAGCTTCAAAATTCAATGCATAAGGTTAATCATGCCTACATTTTACCACCATAAAGTTCAACAGGGTAAAGAACATCTATACGTAGTGCTTGCGGGTGTAAAAGATGTTTTGCTAGATTTTACTCTGAATTTACAGGGTAACCTACTAACAGAAAGCATGCAATACAGTCTAGAAAATCCTCTGATTTTAGGATTATCCAAAATTGCCATTGTAGCAGTAAAACATGAGCACATATGTTCCGGATTAACCAATCAGAAAAAGAAAAATTAAAGCAACAGAAGATGCATGCTTGCAATGATTTGTAGATCGATTAAACTACTAATGCCATAAAATGCCATAACTGTGATACCATTGTTGTATAAGTTGTCTAAACAGATCTAGTCTTGAAAAACAGACAGGCTATTCACAGAATCAACTTGGCCTATATGGGATTCACAAATTGATCTTAATTTCTACGAAGCTTATTACTAACCTTCTCCAACACATCTATCAAGACATAAGGACAATTTCTCTTGAGATTATCATAGCCTTCAGTTGCCATTACAGCATCCATCCCTTTTGAAGTAGCCATAAATTTAACGCAAACATCCTTAAGGTTGTTGCAGCTATGCTGATCAGCTAAAGCTAGCGTAGTTCCAACTGTCTCCGCATCAAGTAAATCATCGAGGACGCTTTCGCACAGCAACTTCATCCTATCCATGGCATATCTATCCGCGGCCACGAGTAGAAGCCTGATCATTTCAACATAGTCGGCATCTTCAACGCCGTCCATGTCGGGCAACGAGTCGGTGTACATGAAATGTGGGAGAGCCCTGAAAACGTCAGGCTGCGTGTCATCCACGGTCACGCTACGGGCCTCCCTCTCCTTCATCCCTCCATAGAGCTCCGCCTTGAAGACGGGCGAGCACGCTCTTGTGCGCCGCAATCTTCGATCCCCCAACAATGAAATCCACGTCTGCGGTTTCCTCTTCCTCCAGCAATTTGCCGAGATGATCCGATAAATCGGATGGCGGCACCTCGATTTCGGATCGTCCCTTGGCGTTGGACACGATCGGTTTATGGACTACGGTCAGGACACACTCGATTTTCAGGCAATCGTCCTTGATGTAGCCTGATTCTTCCTTCTCCAGACGATATCTTTGCATCGGATTTGAGCGCTGAGGCTTAGGGCATCTGGTGCTACTGAACATTCTTGGCTCTGATAGCGAAGAAACACTCTCGCTGACCGGTGGCGTGGCTGACGAATCGCAGGTCATAGGCGGCTTGCACCTTGCAATTCTTGGTCAAGAGCTCCAGGGAGACGGAGGTGAGCCTTGAGATGGTCACCGTGGCGCCGTTGGGGTAGAAGCGGATTGCCCAGTCGTAGCCCCGACGGCGAAGGCCGGCGACCGGATGAACTCGCCGGCGGCCATGCCCTCGTTGAGGCTGTACCCGACGACGTCGAACTTGAGCGTGGCCTCCTCGTGCTTCTTGGCGTACCTTGACATCCTCTTCTTGGACCCCATCCTCTTCAGTTTCTGTCTTTCAAGTTCCAAGAACTGATCAAACCAGGTTGGAATCGAGCCAAATGAGGGGAAAAGAATTGAACCAGATTAATCGAGGAGGAGGATCGAGGAAAGAAATCAAATTCGTCGGGGGCAGAAACGAAACGATGGGCAATGTAAGCGGAGGATATGTTTTGTGATTTGTTCCTGCAAATGTTGAAAATCGTATTATTCCTTGACGAGGAGAAAAGATGGGAATAATTTTCACGTGGTAACCACGGACTATGCCTATTTGAGAATTCAGAGTACGTACGCACTACAAATCGGATCAGATTATAATTTTTGGTCGTCAGGATGCAATTCCGTCGGGCACGGATATGGAAATTCGACCAACTTATTTATAGTTTTATTTATAGCGTGCCCATCTCTATTTCTCTCTATCTCTTCTCTACTTCTTTTCCTATTATAAAAGTTTAACATGTTTTTGCCACAAATTTCGTGCGTCGTCCCTGATTGTGTCCGTATCCGTATGAGTTCATCACATACGCTGGCCAATGCACAAAAGAATCAGAGATCCAATTCAATTTGACATGGAGAAAAAAAGTCAAGGTAATCCTAAGTCCGCACCAAATCGGTTCCGATCAGGATTTTACATAAATTGGGCTAAATTTAAACCGGTTCGTGTTACACTAGGACAACTTGCATATATACAACATACAAAAATACAAAAATTGGTTCTAGAAAAAATACCCAATTTGCACAAACCCTAAATTCCAAATTTTCCTCGAATTAGATCCCAAACCCAAATAAAGCAAAACTCCAGCCACCAGAATCATTGTCTCACCGGTTTCTATCTTCGGCCGCACGTTGCATGATTTCAAAACCCTAAAACGAAAAAATACCCAAATTTAGAACTCAAATTTCTGGGTAAATCCCTAAGCAAATCAGATTGATGGCTTACCAATTTGGCAAATCACCGCCATCATGTGATGCGAGCACAGAATTAGCACCACCATGCACGCACCCTAGCCGTCACCCTGAACCGGCCTTGCGCCTGCTTCTCGTGGGCCACGCAAGGTTGAGGCTCGCTGTCGTGGCCTTGGCTGCGTGCGGAAGAGAACCAGGAGGCGGCCGTGCACGGCATCAGACTTGGCTCGGAAGCAGATCATCACCGTCGAATCCACTCCACGCCGCTGCCGAGGCCACTCCGCCCCCGTCAACTACTTGAGCTGAGCTGTAGCCCAGATGCATAACCGGATGCCGCCACGAGAGGAAGATGGGGCGCAGCAAGTAGGGAAGGAGCTCAAGGATTGTTGTGTGGGGTAGCAGACAGGGAAGAAGCACAGCGATGCTAGAGGTGACCGGTGGTGGGGAGTTGAATCGGGGGAGACAGCTAGACAGCAGTAAAGGACACGGGATGAGAGCGGATGGATTTGGGGAAAGTGAAGGAGAAAGTGAAAATGGGGACTTATGACTTATCTGTTCTCGTGCTCTGCTTTCTTTCTTTATTTTTTTTCCTACCAGACCTCTCTTCCTTTTATTTTTCTCATTTCTCAATCAATTTGTTGAGGCAAAAAAATACTACTATTTGACCTCAAATGTAATTAATTTATAAACTGGAAACAATACTCCCTTAAAAATGAAAATGACTAATTAATAATAGATTTAACTATACCAATGACGTATCTCGAACTTTTATATGGGTGATCCAACTTATATATAACAAAGCTAAAAGTATAAATGGATCAAATATGCATCATAATATATTAAAAACGAGCTTTTTTTCTTCTTTTTTTTCAAAAGTTTCTGCTCACATACGTATATTTATGTGTTAGGCTAAGAATTTTTTGGGTGATCCGCCCATGACAATATGTTTGTTGGAACTGACGAATCGATATTAAAATTTATGACGGTCTCACTTAAAAACACATATAAACATGTCCCGATTTACATACGCAATTGTATCTTTTTCCATTGCAAACATGCCGGCATTTGTATTATCACATATTACAAATGGTTTAGGAGAATTTTTAGAAGATGCCATTCGATTTGCACCACCTTCAGGATGTGCCACTCAATTCGCAACACTTTCAAAACATGCCACCAAGGACGTGAATTGTTTCATTCCATGCCGCTCTGTCCCTCCCAAGCCGTGCGTCGTCATCTTGCTGCCGCCAGCAAGCTTTTCCTTGCCATGCCGGCAAGAGCTCCTGACGCCGTCTTGCTGTAGTCGGCCGCACTAAGCTTCGTCGGCGATGTGCCATCAACCACCAAGGTGTCTGGACACTACCTCCACCAGCTCCGCCACGATTACTCCTTCGTTGACATTACGGACTCTGCCATAGAACGACGCCCGCTTCCACGGTCTTTTCCTCCCGTAGCAACGCATGGGTATTTTTCTAGTCTTTACCTATTATAAAAGTTTAAGATGTTTTTGTCAGGGATTTTTCGTACGTCGTCCCAGTAATGCATGATTTTTCAATCCAATTCACACCCTGTATTGCGATTTTTTAGTCCGATTTCCTCCCGAGTGCACACGCGATTATTTCTGTCCAATTCCTTCCAGATCGCTCCCTCCCAGATCGGTCCACAATTTCCGATTCCCTCTCACGTCCGTAGATCTGTTCAGGCCCATGGTACATTCAGGCCCACCCCAACAGATCCCCTAGCACGTAGCTCAATTTTACTCCCCAGATCTGTTCAGGCCCATGGCACATTTAGGCCCACTCCAACAGATCCTTATCCAAACACCACAAGGACACCCCATATTACATCCAAACACATGAACAACACCACAAGAACGGTAGATACATCCTATTCTATATATATACAACCAAAATATGTTTTATATATACAAAAAATGGTACCACAAACAAAATCCGTTCTTGTGGTGTGATAAAAAAATTCAGACAGTTCTACTCCATCGCCAAAAAGGCCACCTTGGCAGGAGCAGCTCCATCAACGACAGTCATCAACAAACATAAACTCAAGTTGCATCAAAGAAAAATGCCCGATCAAACAAGATGCATACGCAAAGTATTCTCAGGGCTTTTTTACTCCCATAAGTTCGAGCTGCATTAGCAATCATCAGCAAAGACAGAAAATAGTCTGTTGCATTTGTGTAATGATTCTAAAGGATAGTACCAAATATTCTAAGCACCCTGCATAAACTCCCAACAAAGACTGACTCAATCGTGAAAAAAAAGATGGAATTTAAGAAGATGGACTTTATGTTTATAATATTGAGATGGAAGTACGGAAATCATCAGTGGTGCACATGTCTTTAACAACTAGGCTGCAGCAAAATAAGTTATTTTCAGTGCTCAAAACAATGTTAATGATTCAGTGCTAAAGACTAACTCAATCATGAAAAAAAAGATGGAATTTAAGATGGACTATGTTTATAATATTGAGATGGAAGTACGAAATCATCTACTCCCTCCTGGCTGATAATACTTGTCGTTTTAGACAAGGGTGAAGTCAAACTTTAGAATCTTTGATTATGAATCATTTTTAAAATATTTGTCTTTTAAATATAATGACTACATGTATAGATTAGTCTTAAAAAGTACTTTAATAAAATCATATATTTGTTAACACTTTTATACATATTATAATAAAAAATAATGGTCAAATTTGTTTTTTTGAGACCGTGCCCTTGTCCAAACGACAAGTATTATCAACCCAGAGGGAGTACATAATTCTTTTTATGATTACCGGCTCCATCCCACATGTTTAATGTTGGTGCCACACTGTCTGCATCACCATCCCCACTCTTGGATCCCAATGTATGAAAAAGACAAAGAGATAGGGAGCGGTATGCGCAGCACCAGTTATTTTATTTCCTAACACAAAATTAATTAACAATTCAATCTTCTTAGCGAACTATCTGGTTATCTTGTGTCCCTCTTCATGTGCAAATGGAATGATGAAGAATTGCAGTTACCAATTACAAAGGCAAAGTATCATGACACTAGAATTTATCATTTAAATGCTATTATTTTTTTACACATACAGTGGTAACCTTGATCACTTGCATAAATAAATGCATGTACAAGATGAATACGAGCTAAGGAAGCATTTTTTAGTAGAGCTGTTGACGTACCAAGAGAATGAATGTGAGAGCAGTATGCCCCAAATTGTCAGAGACATGCTTCAATGTATCAGAAATAGATAATTGACTACCATATTTTGTTTATATATATTGTACTGAAACATGTATTTGTTATGGTTATCTAAACAACTTATAGTAGCTTAAGAGTCCGTAGAGCTTACCTATTTCCAGCAGTTAAAACATATAATCAACTTCCAATCCACTCCCAAAAATTCAGATCCACCGAGGAAAATAAAATGTCATCTCACGACCGCCACCATCGCGTAAGCTACACCTCGATTCACAACGCGAAGCACCGCACAGCAGGCCTACCTCAGCGCTGTACAAAGGTTGTGGTTCGACATAATACATTGTATCCATACAAAAGTCTAGGCCTAAACAGAAAAAACAACAAAGTAAATTAAAAACATGCATGATTTGACACAAGCATTGTAGAGTTACAAATAGAAAAATGTGTGGTGGCGTGGGGGAGACTACATCTCGATTATTGGCAAGCATATGCAATCAAATTAGAACTGCTTTCCAGATTTGACATAGCAATTGGGAAATTCAAAACATGATTCCCGAGTTGAGAAGATATATAAACAAGAAATCAACATCATGGAAAAGTGAGAATCGTCACTGCGCGGATACGACCGAACTGCTGCTGCGATGGAGAGGAGATGAGGAAGGGGAGAATCGGCTGGATCCAGAGGAACTGACCTCGGGGTTGGATCATCGCTCTGGATGGGTGACAGCAGCGACGCACTCGAGGTGGGAGAAATGAGGAGGAGGGTGGTGGTCGCTGTAGGAGAAGGCAAAGGAAGCCACCACAAATTTGTACTCAGAGGACAGAGATACGCGTGCAGGGAGGAAATCCGCCACCTCTTCATCACCGCCGGCCGCTACCGCCACATCTCCTCCATCCCCTCAACCTTCTTGGCGCTATTGGTGACACCCCCCGTATCTCTACAACAACCAGCCCGCCCCCTCCCCCACCCCTCCTCTCAACCCCAGCCCCGCGACGACCAACTCCCGATCCAGTGACAGGAGCGAGGGGGAAGAGACCGGATCTAGAAGGACAAACCTAATCTTCATTGCTCTGGCCTGCAATGGTGTGTCCCAGAGCAGGAGATGAGAGCTAGCAGACGAGAGAAGAAAGGAGAGAGAACGAGAGATAACGTGGTCACTTGGTCAAGGCGACAGCTCATTGTTTCCTTTTTCCTTTTTTAATTTATTGATGACACAAAAATCATCGGTTCTTCATTTTTTTAATATTTTTTGAGATAAGATTCATAAATTGTGAAAAAAAAAGCATTAAAGTTTCAAATAAAATAAATGCATAATAATTATATTTTTAATGATATATTCGTTTTGGAGGAATTTCAACACATAGGAATAGGAATGCATGCACACTCCAATCCATATGTATTTTCCAAGAGATTTGAGTGGATGGATTTATCTAATATTTAAAGCAATCCTTTTTTAAATGATTTTTTTTTCAGTCTGCTACTAGGCCAAAGCTAGCACGACACAATAACATTAACTAGCCTCAAGTTTTCCGTTGCAACGCACGGGTATTTATGCTAGTTATTATAAAAATTAAAGATGTTTTTGCCGAGATTTTGGTACGTCATCCGTGTTTGAGTTGGTTTTATGAAGATATAGATTTATTGAATAAGTTATGGTATATTACGAAACACTATTTGTATTTAACTCAAATAGATAAAGCTAGCTGCAAGTTTTCTTCACGTTTGTCACAAGAACGTGCATGTGTACAAGTCCGATTGTGTTCCCGTCTGGGAGAGAAAAATAAAGATGTACTGTTGATGGAAACCGAGTCAGTCTCAGTGTCAACACATATGCATGCATAATTCACTCTAGATTGCAATTACAGAACACTTTGACAAAAACCGAGTCAGTCTAGGTATCAACACATATACATGCATACATACATATTGCGAGGAGTAATTTTTCAGTTGCTGCCAAAAAGTTCTCTCTATTTAACTAAAAAAATATTTGAGCGTGTTATTTATTTTAGATCGCAATTAAAAAAACTCCTTCATGCTAAAATATAACAAACTTTTGGATTTCAAATTTTGTTCCAAATATAGCTAAAAACTAACATGTTCACTCCAGAGACTAGGAATTATTATACCACATTAATCAAAAAAAGAAGAAAAAAAACACCATTAGTAGCACTCTTCCCGATTTTAATTTATCTACATCAAACATAAAAATTGAAGATGTTCCCGTCGATATTTTGGTACGTCATCCGTATTTGAGTCAGTTTTCAAGTTCGTTTGCTTTTAGAAATACATAAGGAATGATATAAGAAATCTTTTTAAAAAACTCGCACGTTAACTTACGAGAAGAATCAGACTCCTAATTTCTTCAGAACTCTTGCCAAGTCATAAGAAAGCAACGTACAAGATATGACCATCACCCCAATAAAAGTTTCAAACTAGATATCAAAACTATCAAATTGTATAACGCTGTTGTCTTTTCCCACAACGTTTGACCATTCATCTTATTCAAAAAAATAATATAAATATGTAAAAGTATATGTTAAGATTATATTTTATTTGATGATATAAGAAGTCATAACAAAATAAATAATATTTATACAAATTTTTTAATAAGATGAATGGTCAAATGTTGTGAAAAAGTCAATGGCATCATATTTGAAATGGAGGATGTACTTTTTAGAAAACAATTTAACAATAATATGATTAAAATAGCATTCACTCGTCGCAACGTACGGGTATTTTTTTCTAGTCAAAAGTAATATCTATCATAAGATATACCCAAATATGAATAAGTATATAGGTAAAGAATGACACTAAAGGATTTGTAGTCCAATCCGAAGACGCGATAACCTTACTTTTTTTTACACGATATGATAACCTTACTTGACCGTATCCAAATGAGGTCAGAAGCTAGGGAGGACCAGAGGAGAGAAAGTAATCGAGCCATAAGTAGGGGTGAAAACGGGTCAGGTTCGGTCAGATCTCACCCTTCCCATATCCTAACCCACATTTTATAATCAGAATCGGGTCGGACACGGATAGTGCAAATACGGATACAAACTCGATAATGTCAGGCAAAAATACGGAACAAATACGTACCAAAATAGATACATATACTATCGGTTACGAATATTTATTCGGATATCAAGTCGGAGCAACAATCTTATATGTCACATAGACAATAACCATTTAACAATTCCATATATACATTATACGATTATATTAGGCCATTAGGACCTTAGGAAATAAATAGGGCACAATACATCATAGTAAAACCAATACATAATAGAAAAAGTGCCTCACAAAAACATAATACGAGTAATATCCGTATATTTATCCGGGTAATACTTGAATTTTTTACCGGATAATCCATATCCGTCGGATACTACGTTCCCGAACCCGATCCCATATCCGCCACATAGTAGTATAAATTTTAGGATAAAAAATGAACTAAAAGTGGGATAAGTAGGCAAAATCCCACTTGCCCGCCTTGGTTGCGCCCCTACCGCCAGCGGACCGTTGCTTCCGCGGTATCCATGCACCATCATCACCGCGACCATCCGGTTTCTCTCTAATTTGTGTCCTTTCCTTCTATCCATCTCCTTATGCTTGAGCTGCCATCGTTCTATTAAGAACGGGATGTGCTAGCTATTGAGAAAGTACCTCGAGGTACCAAAATTTTACACACAATTTATACAACCAACCAAAACAAAATTTTAACCCAACTATATCTCTCATACAAGTAACCAAACAAAATCTCATCCTAGCAAGGCTAAACTGATACAAACAACCAAACGGTTGCATGTGTAATTACTACAACAAAACAACCCAATGGAGACATCTTATTTGTAGGATAGAGACGTTTTATTTCGTCTCCCACAGATAACTGGGACGCTTTTATAAAGCGTCGTAGGAATGTCTCTGTTTGCACCGTCTCAAAATTATGGAGACGCTTTTTAAAGCGTACCTATATTATTTAAGATGTTACTAGAGACGTGTAAATTGCATCTCTACAAAATATAGAGACGCTTTTATAGAAGCATTAATATAGGCACGCGCATCTTAATATATTTGATATTAACGCTTTCATCTGGGCTCGAACACAGCACCTACAGGTTGCAAAGTTCATGCATTAACCAAGTCATTAACGTGAACAATCTTGAAGGTAAATAGATAGTTTTTCTTATACTGCAACTCTACAAACATGCGTCCTGTAGCAGATACTCTTCTTTTTTAATCTGAGACTGAATATTAAATATTCAATTTTTTTGTCCAAATAATTATAATATTATTATAACGGTATTTGATGATGACGATTAGGAACAGTGTGTTTATTTTTGTCTTTCTCGATATAAATAATTATATATTATCTAATAACGATGACACAGATATAATAAAAATGTCTCAAAACTCATTTCTACACATGAGACGTTCCAAAACGTCTCAATATTCCTCTCTAAACGATTTAATTTTGTGCTAACATGTAAAGCGTCTTAAACTATCCTCAACTAATAAAGCGTCTCAAACATCGTCCCTATTTCAATTTTACTTATAAAAGAGAGACGACTTATAGAATAACTTAAGTGAAACGTCTTAAAACAATGGTTTTGTTGTAGTATCTCCTCATCCAAGCCAAACTCACCATGGATGAGAGAGATGAGCCGGCGCGGGCCAGAGGAATGCATGCAACCAAATGTCACTTTGAGAGAAGATTTGGGGATTGAATTGATGCATTGACTTGGGGTCAATAGACCATATAAAAAGTATATAAGAGTATGAGAAAAGACCAAAATGCCATTAGACACACTAACACACATCCTTAGACAAACTAACACACATACATACTTAACACCCTCACTCAAATGCAATGGGTATGCAATAACATTGCATTTGAAACTAAACACTAGATTAATGCCACACTAGGATAAATCTAAAGTCCATGCTTGAAGATGTCATCGGAACGTGCAATTCTTGGATGATGAAGAAGAAAAGAAATCCATCTCCTCCTCAATGAAGTGGACCTCGGAGCCTTCACAAACTGTTCTTCGAACCTTGGTACATTTGAAGCCTTCACGAACTGTTCTTCGGCTCTTCATTGATTCTGACATGTAGTTGTTGATGATGATGAAGAAATCCATCTCCTCCTCAATGAAGTTGACCTCGGAGCCTTCACAAACTGTTTTTCGAACCTTGGTACATTTGAAGCCTTCACGAACTGTTCTTTGGCTCTTCATTGATTCTGAGATGTAGTTGTTGATGATGATGACAATGGACCTTCACAAACTGTTCTTAGGTCCTTGACTGATGATGAGACATTGATATTGATGAAGGCCCTTCACAAACTGTTCTTCGGACCTTCACGGATTGATGATGATGCCAGCTTTGATGGGAAGCTGATGATGATGGTTAACTCCGACGAGTTGTTGATGACGAAGACCAGCTCCGACGTGAAGCTGGTGAGGATATGAAGGCTAGCTCCAACATGGAACTAGTGAAGATGATGATGATATACTAGCAAGACTTCAACGAATCGAAGGATATGCAATGTACTTTGGTTGACTCGGTAGGAGACATAGGAAATTGATTAGTAGAGGACATGGATTGATAGATATAGCAAAAGGAAATATTGATAGATGTGCAGCAAGCAAAGATGCATATTACTTAGAGCAATTCTACGGTCCTTGAGAAAATACCATGAGGTACCAAAAATTTAGTGTAAAATTTAGTACCTCATAGTACTTAGGTACCAAGAGGTACCAAATTTACAATAGAAAAAGTGGTACCTCATGGTACCTCCTCAAGGATCGTAAAATTGCTCTATTACTTATTAGCAAGAGATCCAAAGGATGCTACTAATGAACATGCTGACAGAAGCATGGTGATGATTGATGAGTGGTTATCAGATGGCAGCGACCAGCAAGCACGAAAACTGACTGCACATGTGATGGAGTAAAGTTAAAAACATGTGAATTCTGCGAGTGAAATTAGGATTAGAACCGAACAAACTGCACAATCCTTAATTTGACACTGAAGGTGAAGCCGTCCTTGCCGGAGCCAACAGCAGCGAATGTGTCGACGGAGACACAGGCGAGGCAACAATGAGTTGCTGGCTGCTATTGTTGGTTGTTGCTTGAAGATGGACAAAGAGGACGTCTTGCTGCTGTC